CAATAACTGTAGTAATTTTGTCCCTTTGTTAGTCTCTCCCCTACACTCCATTCTGTCAGTTTCTTATATATAGTATGTGGCAAATGCTGTTATGCCTACACATTGTAACAATGCTTGTACTTGTTCCCAGAGCTGAGACTATTCTTCGTCCTTGGTGTTTTACGAAATGTGTAGCTATTTCACTGATTAACTGAGAAGTATATGCAGGATTAATATTCCCTTGGTTCTCTATGCCACATGCTTTTTCTTTAGTCCGGTAATAGTCACTGAGAGTGCAAAGGATGCTGTAAACTATTCACTTCTACTCCCCAAATAAAAAGTTTCTGTTAATTAGAATAAAAAAGAGGATGAATGTTTCCCTAAGGTAGTAACTTCCAACCTTGCTGGAGCTGTTAAACCCTCTGTTGTTTGATTTTTTATAGTCCTTTTCTCCTTAAAGGGCTACATTGTGTGCATTTTCTAAAATGAAAGAAAATTAAAATTCTCTTTTGAAAATTTTGCAATGCCTTATGGAACGAATAGCTAAATGGAAACTTTCTGAGATATGGAAAAACCAGACTTGAGAATGGCTGATTTAAGAACTTGGATTTGCATTTCCTCTTTACCAGGCTTTCTGACAACTTCTGAATTAAGCCTTCTTCCTTTAGACTGAAATATGTTCCCCTGTGGAGTAATTATTGCCCTCCAAGGAGAAGTAAGACACAGAGCTTTACTTGCTTAGAACATGGTATACCCCAAGAGAAGAAATGGGAAGTATGGTGTTTGGGGATAGCTCTTGCTCTTTCCAAATGCAGACATATAATACCTTGATTTCACCTGATTAGTACTTTTTTAAAAATATCTTAGTAGACAGAGAATATTAAAAGTGGAATCAGGAAGACTTTACTTTGAAGCCTACTTCAAACACATTAGCTGTGTTCACCTAAGGTGCTCATTTAAGCACTCTCTACCTCAGTTTTCTCATCTGTAAGATGGGGATAATAATATCATCTCCCAGGGTTGTTGTAATGATAAAATGAGTTAATATTAGTAAAGTACCTTTTAAATGTTAATCTTATTATTATTTCTCTGCTTATTAGTTATTCCACAGCATGTGATGAGTGAAATTTCCAGAAGAGCTTTAATGTAAATAAGATTGAATCTTCCAGAATATCTGAATGGTTACATTTCTTTTGTGTTATTGAAAATGGTGGGGGCAACTAGGTGGTGCAGTGGATAGAGTATCTGCCCTGGATTCAGGAGGACCTGAGTTCAAATCTGGTTTCAGACCAGACACTCGACACTTACTAGCTGTGTGACCCTGGGCAAGTCACATAACCCCAATTGCCTCACCAACAAACAAAATAAACAAAAAAAAAAGAAAAAAAAGAAAATGGTAGCAGAAATTTGGGTAATATGGACAAATGTGTCAAATTTTGGTGGCTTTAATAATGTCTACATCTTAAAATGAAGAGAATATGTATATTTTTTTTTCTTAAGTAACTAATAGGTTCAAAATGGGTAGAAATCTTTGAAGTTAGAAAATGTCAGCCAATCCCTTAAGCTTTGAGATCTTAAGCAAATCACACTTCTCTGAATCTCCGTATCCTAACTTGTAAAATATTGAGAGTGATACAAGGTAAGGCATTTTTTTTTTTAATTCGGCATTATTCATTCATATCATGGAGACCTGCCAGTGATCCCGTGTGATTCAGAAAGCACTTTACAAGGGGACTGTGCTAGGCTTCAGGGACACAAAAACAAAAATAGAACTAGACCGTAGTCTTGAGGCTAGGTGATCTGTTAGGTGACCTACAGTCTATTTTGATTAAATTTAATAGGTGCTTTTAGGTGAGATAGCAAGGCATGGAGAATAGAGAGAGCTAGACTCAGTGAGAACAAGCTAAGTTCATCTCTTGCCTTCAATTCATTTTGGCCGTGTCCCCAGGAAAGTCACAGGAACTCACAGTTGCTGGATCTTCATTAGTAGAGGGAATTTCCTCCTTGTATCAATGGAATCACAGCTTTACCCTAGCCCCAAAAGGACTTTCTGGAAAAGACTTACGTTTAAACCTGTTCATTAAATTCATTTTTTTTTGCTGTACAGTACTGACATTTTAAAGATTATATCTAATTTATAGAATGAAGACTATTTTGCTGTGATATCTGTGTGCATTTATATATTCACTACCTTCTCTAAGATCTTGATTATAACTGTCAGTATCATGCTATCTCCACTTATTCTGTGCACTCTGTCTTTGTTTTTAGTTAGAAGTTGAACATCAGATATGAATATAGGGACACTTGCATTGGAGGGTAGAAAAAAAGGGGAAAAAAAGAAATTTACATGATAATTTATTATATATTTAAAAGGAATAGCAAGTTGTACATAATAGATTTGCAGTTTCATGTGTAGTTTTCTTTTTTATATTATGTTATGGATATGCATGTTTTATTCCATAAGTAAAAAATAAAATAAATGAAGATTTAAAAAAAAATATTAGCTGGGGCAGCTAGGTGGCACAGTGGATAGAGCACCGGCCCTGAAGTCAGGAGGACCTGAGTTCAAATCCAGCCTCAGATCAAACACTTGACACTTACTAGCTGTGTGACCCTGGGCAAGTCACTTAACCCTAATTGCCTAAAAAAAAAAAGCAAAAAAAAAATACTAGCTACAAGTTCAGAAATACCATTGGAATATACGTAGCATGTGATAGAGCTAGCTTGTTTTACCTCTTGCAACTTAATTAGTTTGTAACAGAACCTTGGAGAAAGTGCTCAAAGTTGGCTCATACATCTAGCAATGAGCGTACAGAGCCATTTTAAGTTTACTCTGCATTATTAACATTTGCTCCATCATTTTTCTTAAGGCTAGTCAATCCACAGAATGAGAAATGAAGTTCTGATTTGTAGCATAGGCCAGTTTCTGAGATGGAAATGCTTACATTGAATATTTAACAATTGTTCTTCTCTTCTACCATTGAGTGCTTTTGTCCTTACTCTGGATCTTTTTGTTTGCATTATTATCTCTGTTTATGCCATGAATAATATCCAAGCCTCCTATTTCCCAGACAAATATAGGTACATAACCAGGTAGCAATTTCTACTTACTTAAGATCATAATTAAAGGGTCACCTCCTACAAATTTAATTTGTTACCACGTGTGAACAAGTTTGGCATTATGGAAAACCCATTTGTGCTTTCAGAGTACTAACTAATAATAGTGCTTCTGTATACAATTCTGTGCCCCCAATTTTTCAAGAATTTGATCAGCTAGTGTAGTAATATCTTCTATTCCTGGAAGCAGAAGAAAAATGGAAGGTAAAGAAGGATGAGTATTTCCAATGCAAATGGGGTGGGGGAGAATATCTAATTAAATCATGTTGACACACAAGTGTTCTCAGTTAAATTTGGGAAACAAAAACTATCACCCCAAACTACTTTAGCCACAGACAAAAAAATGTTCTTGAAAATAACTTAGCAATTTATAATGTGACCAGCTCTTAAGATGAGAACTGCTTCATAGTTAATGAAAAGTATAATAGCTTTATTTCAAGGCTTCATATCTAGAGTCAGATGGGGTGCCATAGAACAGATGTAAGAGCTATGTTGCAACCTGAACCTATTACATTGATTGCCTCTCAATTGGATTGGGCAACCAGATGTACATTTTCTACTCTTTAAAGAAGGAAATTGCTAATAGTTTAAAAAAATAAAATAATAATAATGTATCTAGAATCGGCAGTGATCATCATTGTATATTAAGAATAATTTCAATTTCAGGAGAGATTGCATCTTTAAAGTAAGTTCCCTTTTTATGTCTTATTCAAAGAGAATTGGAAAAAAGGGAACAGGGATAGAGATTTTCCCATTGTCACTGTTAGTTTTTTTGTAACACTGTTGGAATCAAACGTGGGGAATCTGCTCTGATTGCAGTATCCAACTGTGCTGAGTCTCTAAACTATTAAGTCTTGTTAATAGTTGTGAGAGTCAATAAGGCTGCTCACAGCCTTGAATTGAAATGTTGAGCAGTCAGAACAAAAACTGAATTATTTTAATGGAGCAAATTTGATTCACACACAGTGTGACAGGCAGTGTCAGAAGAAAATCCTCACTTAATATTTGAGGCTGTTATGCCATTAGTTGGCTGATTTGACAGAAGCCACTGAGTTTTATGTAAAATAGTGAAATGATAAATGTCAAGGTAACGTAAGATACACATGAGATTGAATTCTTTCAATAGATATCCCTCCTACTCCCTAATCCTCCTGCCCCCGGGATTTTGCGAAGATATGTCCTTCTCTGACCATGCTTTTGTCCTTTCACACTCTTCACTATATGCTGTTACTTCTTCATCCTTTTGAGACTGTACCGTGGTCAAGATCATTCTTTTCAATCACACACATGGGTGCTTTCGTCATGGGCATTGCCACTGTTTCAATGTGAATACCTTCTTTTATTCTTGGGCTTCTTTGACAGGTTTAACCCAAACTGGAACAAGATTTAAAGATTCATATATTCTGAATTGTATGAGTTTGTCTCAATGGCATATTGGTATTAGGCCTAGTATTATTAACTCACTAGGTGACATAACCATTTAGATGAGATTAGGACAGCCAAGTGGATGATTGATTATATTTTGGTATAATTCAGTTGGCTTCACATAAACATGGCCTTAGTTTTCTCTGAAAAGGAATTTTCATCCAACTTGATGTAAGAACATCTTACTTTGCTTCAAAAATATGAACATTTCCCTCAATATTTAGTTATCATTTCCCTTCACTAAAGGGAACTACTTTGGTATAGAACTACTAACCCCTTTTTGCATATATAGTGGAAGAACAGTTCAGTCTACAATATTTACCCTACTTTTTGAAGTTAGAGAGTGGAGCAAAATCACATTCTGAACTTTTCCCACACGTGTGTTATGAAATCATAATGTATTATTGAGCACTCTTTTATTGAACAGATCTTTTCTCTATTCTCTGTAGAAAGCAAGTAGAAATTCAGTTAGTTGCCTGTTTCAGAAACAAAAAAACGAGAAAAAAAATAAGCCTTTAATAAAGAAGTGTTGAAGTCAAGTTGCCTTTTGAGAAGGTGTGAGGGCACCAATGAAGAAGGGTCCATTTTAAGTCTGTCTAAAAAAAAAAAGCACAGAAATAGTTTGAGCAGACACACCATTACTGGTATAGTAATGTTGCATCTTTTTTTTTTTTCAGGAAGAGTCGCAAAAATGTGGTCAGGTTAAATTTCTGAAATGTATTGCTAGATGACATTTTACAGAAACTGAAAGCCAATTTTCATTAAAACATGACTTGAGTTTGCAGAAGTTGAATCATCTCTACTTCTTTAACAGTTCTGTATCCCAGACAAGAAACACTATCTACTTTTATCCTTATGGTGGAGGCAAAATGATCCTTCCAAGGATGTGACCTATAAAACAGGGCAGGTTGAAGCAGTCTAAGAAACTTGGGAGTATGATGAGCCGTAGTATTTTTAATGAAGTGAGACTATAAATCCTGTTAAATGACTTGCCAAATCAGCTTAAGCTTTGAAATTGCAAGAGAAAAAGATCTGATATAACTGGATTACCAACCCACTGTTGTATTCAATTGCTTTTGTGAAAATTACTCAGGTTGTAGAAGTCTTATTCTTTCAGTGCTGTGTGATTATAATGTAGAACAGATTATATAAGTATATCATTTCATATGCATAATCTTTTAAACTCATGGTTTTCTTTGTAAGCATCTCATACTTAGTTGGGAAATTCAGAAAATGGAATCATGGGCAATTTAAGAGCTTTTCTCTATTATTAATACTTAACAATAGTAAAATATTTAACCCTAGGTCAAAATGATAGATTTAAACCAGATTCCTGGGCTCCAGTTCAAAATTTTAGAGATCATGGTATGATGCAGTAGCATTTAAACAAATATTTTGTTGTTCTTAGTTTAAAACAGGATAGCTAAATATAACATCAAAAAGCCCAAAGCAAATACAGTTTTGTACTTTGTTATCAAGATGGAATCATTTGTTTTTTTCTCACTTGTTTTAGTTTTCAAACCTCTTGCTCGCTTTGAATTTCTCAGCTGCTGCCCATACGAACAAGTACAAAGGACAGAACATAAGTCAGATGTGTCACCTGGAATCTGGAACAGTGGTACTCAATAGGATGAGTGTGCCCCAGCAGCAGAGCACCTGAGTACATTGGATAATCTGGCACATTTCCCACTGCTCTTTGTTATTTTTGGTTTAGTAGCATGAGGAAAAACCCAAAGGTGTGGAGGTACTCAGTAGCTAATACGGCAACTTGTTTGGAGTGAGCAGTGTGTGTTATGATAAATGAGAGTTTTAGTGCGAACCTAGAGCAAAGGTGACAAATACTGTATTTAACAATATCCCCCACTAGGAATACTACTAGGTATATATAAATCTATTAATAGAAATAAAGATAGTTCAGTATATAATAGATTTAGAGTTGGAAAGGATCTTAGAGTTCATCAAGTACATCACCCTTATTTTACAGAAAAGGAAACTGAAACATAGAGATGTAGAATGACTTGTTCAGGGCCATTCAGCTAGTAAGAGTCTGGAGTGGATTGGAACCCAGTCTTCCTAACTTCAGATTCACCTCTCAGGGAAGTGTAGAATAACATGATGTTGCACACATCCCAAGTGCCATTCTATCTCTTCCAACTCTCAGTATTTTCTTGAGTCAGTCTTTGTTTAGTTTTGTGAGAATGACAACAGAGTACCCGATCTTTAAATCTGTGGCATATGAACAATTTTCCCCATTTTAAACCCTACATTTTGACTATTCTTGTTAGAAATCACAATATGGGTGTTCCTGGCAAATACTACCCATCAACCTTCTTATTAGAAAGTTAGGGAGTCTGAAGAATGTTTGCATTTACATAAAAGAACTTTATCATAAACTTTATAACCCAGATACGGACCCAGAAAGCCTTTATAAAACTAAGAATGGAGATTTCCTTAAAGAAAAGGGATCTAGTGGATAGTAGAGTGGGGGGGAGATCTAAACATGCAGCATGTGTAAATAAGATAAACAAAGCTGGAGTTCAGCTTTGATTACCATCTGAACTCTGAAACCAAAAGTTTGCATTGAGTGAACTGTATGGGAACACCTCCCCCTTCTCTTGTTTTTTTTTTATATATATAATATATAGCCTTATAATAACCAAGTAAAAACAAAAAAGCCCCAACTTAAAAAGTCAACCAAAAAAAAAAAAGAAGGGATTATTTTTGAGAGGTGGCAAAGCTAAACGTTTTTTCTGATGGCATATATAGAATGCCAAGTATTCTATAACAATAGTAATGATGATGATATAAATACCTCCTTTGTATCCAGTTGAGCAAAAACACCATTATGATGCACACTGATCCTTCATATTCTTTTCCTTGCTTATCCACATTTTATTCCTACGCAGTTTCCACTGAAAAAGAAGGTGGTTAAATGATGACTTCTTGCTTTTATTTGTTACTTACTAGATATACCTTTAAACTATCTGTGACTGAAGAGGTTAAGATTTTACATTTCAGTATTGTTAAGCTGGACAGATGATGATTTCATATTGTTTTAGAGTACAGATTCTTGAATTTTTGTGTGTCATGGATCTTTTCAGACTTGTGAAGTCTTTGAACCCCTCTCACCATATATTTATAAATGCATAAAGTAAACTATATATATAGTTTATATATATTTATATATATATATATGTAGTTATAAAGGAAACTAATTATATTGAAATATAGTTATCAAGATATTTTCTTTAAAAATTTACAAACCCCGGGTTAAGAACCAGTTTCTTGAGCTTCCCTGACTGCGTTTATAGAAGGTTTCCTCTCTTGAATTTTGCAAAAAGAATGTCAGGTTTGAGTACTGTTTATATTTTCTGCAGTTTGGCAGTACTTCAGGTATACTAGGACAGAGTTTCATCATGTAATTCAGCCTTGTTTCCCTAAGAAAGTACATCTGTATAAAACTACTGTGTAAATAAAGAAATATGTTCAGGTTAATGCAAAATACAGCACGGAAGTATCAGCTGTAGGAACAAAATACTCAGTAACTGATTGTTCAGTGATTTCTAAATGAGGTGTAAACAGCCGAACTGGTGATACTAGGTTCCCCTGGTGTGACTATGTAGAGGAAACATGGTAAAATAAAGTGCTAGGTGCATTGGTTTATGATGCATTACTAAAGTGCATAATTCTGTGAGAAAAAGCAATTTATATGATTTGGCTCATTTATTATAGGTTTGCATTTTAGCTGAATGAAATAGCATGTATCTAACATTCATAGGGGTGTTTAAAATTTTTAAATGCTCTTGCATCTTTATTATTGTTATTTTTGAAAGGGAAAGTGGATAATCATTTTTAAGAATAATGTATTTCATTTATGTAAATGGTAATTTTTTTTTCCTTAGCAGATGATAAACTGTGGAAGGATAGCTTGGTACAGTGGAAAGAATGTGAAATTTAAGTAGTGGACTTGGGTTCAAGTCCACTTATTAGCTGTATGACCTTCACTAATTTATTTAACCCCTTTGGCTTACCTGTAAAAGGAGAAAGTTGGACTACGTGACTTCCAAGATTCCTTCCATCGCAAAATCTATGCCTATCATTTTTACATTTGCTAACTCTTATTTTTAATCTTTCAGTGCCTGCTCTAAAAACAGAAGACATTTAAGAAATATTTCTTAAGTTCTTAAGATTTGATTTTTTTCTCATCCTAGATCTTTTCATCAACATTAGATGAATGAAGGATAATAATAATTGGTTAATTGTTCAATATGAAAATTCAGTCATTGAACATATGACCATAGAAACTAGGAAGAGTGTTAGGGATAAAAATTTCAATTCTTTCAAGATAAGATTCTGGATCTACATCCTTTTAGTTTCTATCCTTTTTAGGATTTTATTATCAGTTGAACAAAGGCTTCTGAGATACCCCTCTCCCACAACTCTCTCTTTATTCCTTTTTAATGGAATTCATAAAAATTCTAGCCAGAAATTGTGGGGAGAGAAGATTATTAAAGTGTGCTTATAAACATTACTCTTAACCTGCTCATATACCTTTGGCCATTAGTCTCATATTTCTGGAAACTTTGGGCAAATGCAATTTAATATGGAATGCCATGGCTATATATTCCAAAGACTAAATTGCATGTCTGACTGTATTACTGTTGATATATTAATCTCCTGGAAAATAAAATCTTAGCTCTTAAATCACTTTAAGACAATTATTTTGACAGATAATTTGTTATTAGATGTACACCACAAGAAAAGATGTTGCAGTCATTTTGAAGGAAAGTAAACAGAATGTCAGAAGACTGGGGCTGATTGCACTTCTGATAAACATATTCTCAGTGATATAAGACAATGCCTTCATGGTAAAACCACATTGGGCCAATCTTCATTTTCCTCTGAAACAATGAAGTCATAGACTCTGAATTGGAAGAGACCTGGCAAATTGTTTAGTCAAGTATCCAACCCTTTACAAGAATCCCTGAGAGATAAGCAACAAACCTCAGTTTAACTACCTACAACTTCTGCTTAAAAGGTAGCAAATTCTAGTTTTGGGCAGCCCTAATCATTAGCAAGTTTTGCTTATGATGAGCTGAAATCTGCCTCCCTATAATTTCTCTACATAGATTCTGGCTATGCCTCATGGTCTAACGTTGAACTTGACTCTTCTCTCAATAGATATGAAGAGTTTGAAAACAGTGTGTTTCTACTTGGTCTCCATGCTTCAAATCTCTGCTCAGTGTAGTCTAACTTAGCTACCAAAGTAATCATACTAAAGTGTGGGAACCCTCACCCCCTTTCAATAAACTACAATGGTTCCCTATTATCTGTAGGATTAAATATAAATTTCTTCTTCCAGTCTTCCTGCTATTTATTCCTCTCCAAGTACTCTGCCATATAGTGACATTGGCCTTTCTATTCCTCATACATCTCTCAACTTTATTCAGTTTTATGAGCTATTGCCCATGTCTAAAATTCTTTCCCTTTTCACCTCTGGCTCCTGGATTCTTTTAGGTCCCAGTTAAAATCCCAACTTTTGTAAGAAATCTTTCCTATTCCTTCTCAATACCAATGCCTTCCCTCTGAGACTATATCTCCAACGAGAAAATAACCTCAAATGAGATAATATTTATAAAATGTTTAGCAAAATGACTGGCATATAGTAGGTGCTTAATAAATGCTTTTTCCTTTCTTCCTTCCAAACTTTTACAGTTTCTGTCCATAAGCCAATATTTATGTTTCATTTGGATCCAATGGTAGTCTTCATAAAGATTATAAATCAGTATACGTAATATAATAATGATTGCTGACATGTATAGAGCACTTCAAAATTTGCAAAATACATCATATCTATATATATATATCTATATATATATATATAGAGAGAGAGAGAGAGAGATATCTATATCATCTCTTTCAATTCTCACAGCAAACCTTGTCAATTAGGCACTAAAAGTAAAACGAATAGACTTTACCCTAAATTGACAAATGAGAAAACAAGCTCAAGGAGTTAAGTGATTTGTCTAAAGTCATTAGCGTTGTATCCAAAATGGGATGACACTATATCTAATCCATGTCTGTCCTGACCCCAAGTGTATTTTTTCTACTTTACCATGCTGCTAGAATCTAATAAACAATAATTACAATTCCATTTTCCTTCTTTCCCCACAAGGGTTCCTGTTATGCTTGAGTGCTGAGAGCTATGTAAGATTCTAAACTTCCAAAAGTATTGAAAAAAATTAGTTACATAGTGCTTGCATTTTAGTATGTTTTGAAAATGCATCTAGTTGAATGCAGCATATGGAAATTTTTCCTAAATGCTATTTTTCTACCCATAAATTCCTTTGGTAATCTCTACTGTCTTTTGTTAAGTAAAAATAAATTAACTTTGTCTCTAATATTTGATAGTTTTTAATTTCCCTACCTGCCAATGTGATAGGAGAGAGCACAAGACCCAGATTGCAACAGGCTCATAAATGTGCCTAAAACATCCAGAACAGCTTGTTTTGGGCAAGCATCTTTGTTGGCTAGTATTGGTTTAGCTACTTTAAAAATGTCTATTCTTTCTCTTTAAAATTGCATTTGCGCATTTGTTCATCATGCAGTGAGAGACAAAGGAACTATGGCTACCTAAAGGGATGGAGCTTCTTTTCATTTACTTATGACTAAGACTTATACAATACTATGACACAGGACAAGAGAATGAAAAGTTCAAGACCAAATGTTGAGTTAGTGTACATTAGAGTCCTGATGTTTTATGCTTGTAAAATTGCATTCTTAATAGCATTCTATAGATTAATAGATTAATAGATTCTGTAGATTAATTTTAGGGGGATCCTTGAACTTGGGAAAAGTTACATCTTTGTTTTCACTGCCGTCTAATTTAAATTTAGCATTTCCTTCAATTATTTAAAAGCATAATTCTGAGAAGAGGCTGTCCATAGGCTTCACCAGACTATCAAACTTCCCTCTGTCTCTCTGTTCTTCCCTCTCTCTCTCTGACTTTGTCTGTCTCTCTCAAAGCCCTCTAACCCACTTTTTTCCCCCTATAACAACAAGTGACCTTATTTGGCAAAGTGTAACATCTGTCATGAGGAACTAAAAGCTTAAATGTTTTTGATTTGTTTTCCTCCCCCTTCCCCCTTTTGTTACTTCTGTCATTTCTTGTAGTACTGTTTACATCTTACCCCAATCTTATTTCATTTTGGTCATAGGAAAAGAAGGCAGCATAGTTTAAATAAATTGTACTGTTCTTTGTCATCTAATTTCACACCTCTTAAATCTGGGAACAGTCACTATATGCTGCATCCTGAAGCAGTGAGTCAGTGACTTTCTTCTCTCACCATCTACATCTCACCCACTGCATCTGTCAATTTAAGTCAATCTTTTTATCAGACAAGAATTTCTTTTTGGCTTTTCTTATGAGTCCTTTCTACCTGGTAAACACAAGATCAGATTGCCTTATTCTTTCAGACCATGTAGCTACAAATGTTATTTATTAGTCATAAAATGCTCCAGAATCCATCTAGAATCTTTAACTCTGTGACACCATGCTGTCACGAATTATACAGCTAAATGGAAACTGTAGGAAGAACCACTTCTTCTATGGCATAAATTCTGTGGCATATAAAGTGAAACTAACATTTTACTGACTGAATTTTACTGCTGTGAAATCAAGGAATGCTGCATCTTTTTCTCTGTAGAGCTATGTGTTGGCAGTCACATCAGGGAAAATTGCAAGCTTAGCTTGCAGGCTCTCATCACTGGGCAAGATAACTCCAATTCCATTTGTGCATTGAGAAGAGGCTGTGTTCAGAAGAGTAAACTCAATGAATATTATTTAATGTTGAATTGTGAGGGGGCTAACAGAAAACTTGCCCTTAGATTGTTATAGTTGCTCACGTGTATT